ATTTTGTACTGATCAGCTTGTAGGCCTGGACAGCTTTCGTGATACCAGCGGCAGCAGACGTCACACTGCATACCACCAGATGCATCTGTAACTGGCTCTGAACAGTTAACCTGTCCGCAAGCTGCAGTAGAATCATCAAACGAGGACCCCATAGGTCCATCCGTCTCGGTGTTTAGCGAGACAGCCATGTTCATGTGGAAAACAGATTAGAATCACAACACGTATAAACAGGAAAACGACCGCAATAAAAAGACAAAAACAGGGTGCAAAACGGGATTAAAACTGGGAACAAACGGAAAAATTACCAGTAAGCGCCAAAGACGCTTTGGCCAGTACCAATTTAATCGACCCAAGATCAGGTCAGGTCAGGTCAGATGGACAATAGAGGCTTCCGCCTAACGAGCGTCCAGTTCTTGTGCCGGTAAGTGAATCGGCCCCCAGCACTTCGACGTTGGATTGTTTCTTGCTTCTGCAATGGAATGATGCAAGAACAAGAGCAGTCTCTGCACTTTCATATGACAGCATCAAGATACACTACATATACCAGTACAACTACAATAGCTCTGGAAAAAGGGTGGACCAACAATTGTCTAAGCCCCTTTTGAAGGCTTCTACAGTCTCAGACTCCACTAAATCAGAAGGAAGTTTATTCCAGTAGTTAACTACTCGGTTCGTAAAAACTTTGCCCTGATGTCCAAACGAGCTCTGTGATGTTTGAGCTTCAGGCGATGCCCGCGCAGATGGTCTGACGTAGCCAACTCAAACAGATGGGTGGAACTAATACCACTAAGTCCCTTAATGATCTTAAACGTCTCTAACAAATCCCCTCTAGACCTACGCCGCTCCAAGGAAAGTAATCCTAAGCTACTTACACCATCTTCGTAAGACTTCCCTCGTTGACCTTCAATCATTCTGGTCGCAAGTTTCTGAATCTTTTCTATACATATGATGTCACTCCGGAGGTACGGTGACCAGGCCTGAACACAATACTCCAGATGTGGCCTGACCACTGCTTTATATAAGGGCAAGAATACTTCTGCTTTAGTGTTACTCAGCGCCCTCCTAAGACGAAATAACTCGTGTCGTGCTTTATTGGCAGCATGGCGACACTGTGCCGAAAGCTTAAAATTGTTCGCTACGATGACACCTAGATCACGGGCTTCGTCAGTACATCGCAATGATAGAGATCCCACAGAAGACTGAACTGCAATTCCGCTACCGCTACTAGTCAATAGTTGACATTTGTTGGCATTTAGAGGTAGGTCCCAATGGCTTGACCAAGTCGCCACAGTGACAATGTCCTTAGCCAATGTCGATCGGTTTCCCAGAGAAAATTTGACAAAAGTCAAATTTCGTTTCAAGTGTTTATTCAAACACTGTTTTCCACGTTATTTCAGCTGAAAAGCTCGATCAGAATGGCACGCCAAAAAATCGAGTTACCGCGTAGTACTCACAGAGCAGGATGGAAGTGGAAAACAGGTGACTGCGAGTAACAGCACACAAGATCCGCTTCAGGCCATAACATTTAATTGGAACGAATGCGTATCACACATTTTCACCTTTGCTTTAGTAATCTGTTTAACGGTGATCTCAAGCATTAGCACAAACTTAGATCACTTCTTCCACTTTCCAATGTCAAGGCCAATGTTTATCACATTTGCATGTTGCAGATGTGATTGTAACTATTTCATTATGCCGAGTTGGCATGCCACGTTCAACACCGAGAATATAAAGTTTATTTAGTTATTTATATATGTCTACCAAGGCTTATTCTCCGTGGCTTCTCAATCCCCGAATAACTGGGAATCTTGTTCTTATGGTTTTCAGATCCTGCTCGATTGTTCCGCTCTCTGGTTGATTATGCTGTAGAGCATTTCCCCAGTCATTTGCACTGCTGCTGTAGCTTGAGGGAACTGCTGCTGCCTCTGGCAGGTTTTTACTCTGTGGATTCCTACCTTTTACACTTAGCGAGTCCAAATCCGTACAAACCAACAACGTCTGTGAAGATCCGATCGAATATCTCGTTCTTTGCCTAGTAGGCTACTGCAAGACCAGTCTAAGTCTTAGTTTCCCGTTACATCTTGCCTATATTTTCCATTCCAGTGACTAAAGGAGTTTGTCTTAACGCGTCATCAGGTCTACCATTAGCTGACTCACAGACAATCTGGTAAGCTGATGTGTTCAGAACAATTGACAGGCACGACTGGCGGAATGCAGTGTGACATCTGCAGTCGTTGGTTTCATGAAAGATGCCCTGGTTTAAACAGCACAATATGGTGATATGGCGGATAATAAGCTTTTTGTTTAGCTGTTCTGCTTGTCGCGAGCACAAATCAGCGTGGTCTGCTTTCAGATGCGAGGTTTTTGGCACTAGTTTCCAGACAAGCAAGTAAGGAAAACCTACCTGCTTTCTTGCCCGACCTTGCAATTGTAGTTAGCTATGGAAACGCTGGTGTACCTACCTTGCGGAATAACGAGCGTTTGTGCCATCCTTCAGACACGAGCAGCTTGACTATATTGCTGCTTCTTGTGAGCACGTTTTCTGTTACTAACGATCCGTCAACTGGTTTTTTGGCCCCGTTTATAATAAGGACCATCCTTGGGTTCAGGTGCCTGTGGAAAGTAGTCTAAGAAAGGCTAATAAGGTAGTACCCACACTTAAAGTGCAAGCGAAAGGGGACACAGCAGGTACGACAACCCCTAAGTATAACTCCACCGGCACTGAGTCCTGTCTTCGTTCCGCAAGCTCCGTCTTGTTAAGCTTCCAGCTATACATAGGTGCATATATTGCGTGTGTCCCTAGCACTTGGTTCTGTAACACGCGCTAGGAACATGCCCGTCGAGGTGACTTGTATAGTAATAGTAAAGTAATCTGTAAAAAGGTCATGAAACCCTCTGCCGTAGTTCCCAGGAAATGTACCTGAGCATGAATAGTTTACAAGTTGCGTCACTAGTCTCCTTCCGCCCGGATTCCCTGGAGCGATCGTGCGTAAGCTAACCAGACTTGCCGGCGTGACAGTCAGTAGGCTTTTTCTCCTACGGGTGATGCTTTCCACCTCCGAGGAGCGCTAAGCGATTATGCGATTTACTTTTAAATCAAAATGTGCTGGAGTCAGCTTACAGCTGGACCTCCCTCAAGCGGACAGGGTGCAACTGACGACAACTATCCAGGGCCTCAAGCCAAGTCGCGCTGCAGGCGAAAGTGGCCTGTGGTTGGTGCGTTTGCGAGTGATGCACCGGCCGTCCACTTCCGTCATGCCCGGATCTATCCCGGTGGCGCACGATCCTGGGGACTCACCATACCAATACCCTTCATGCGGACTCAGTAACGTGCATACCCTGCGTAACAAGATGTACAAATTGGGCGCTCTTGTGGATTACTCCTATTTAGATGTCATCGCTTTTAGTGAATCTTGGCTGTCTTCGGACGTCAGACGGTGGAATATTCCTACGTGGCAATTCACTACTGAGATGAGCTCGTACTTGCGACCTTCGATGAGGTAAGGTTACACACTACCTAAGCTCCGGTTTAACTCTTTCCAAAACATGTTTGACCCAAGACCTTTTGAAGCACTTTCGGTTGAAGTGTACACTTGTCCTCGCACTTTAATATCGCGTTAGGACATGGGAGCCCTGCTACCGCTTCCAGAGGTTTTATTGATTTCATACGCAATGGCTCCACAAACCGGTGCTTGGTGCTGGGTGATTTCAACTTCCCGTAGATAGACTGGCACAACCCCTTCTTCGGGACTGCGACCGCAGGCTTAGCCGCCGTACTAGTGACGCCGGCGTTAAAAACTCCCCTCCATCATTTTGTAGAACAGCCCACAAGATTCATGCTCTTCTTTTTGCAGTCAGTCGACTTCTTAGCATTGTGTACGGTCACTAACGTGGTGCATTATAATGGGTTGTTACCGTTGATTTGGAAAGCATCCGGTAGTGAGTGAGGGTGTGAAGACGTTTAATAACAATAGAGCGATATTTTTCCTCCGAGTTTTATAATAGTTGGGGAGATGCCATCTGGACCTGGACGAGTTGATTGTTTTATGGCCGCGATGGCACTTTGCACCTCTCTTAACGTCGCAGGGATATTGCAGTATAGTTGGCTTACGCCGGAAGACGAGGGCGTGCTGCTTCATCGATCCCGGTGTTGTACGTACTCAGTGGGGTTTCGGCGCACAATGATTGCGAGCAAGCCTGTCTTCCCGGCGACTTGTATTCGAGGACGTTGGTCCTAGAGTTCTTTTACTGACTATTGATTTAGAGGAGAAAGTTCCAACTAGCTGTTTGTTGGCTGGTATCTCTATATCAGAGGCCCAAGTGCTTTCATTACAGCTGGAGTTAAATCCTACCAAGTTCTCTCTTATTGATGCCAGTCAGCCGAAGTTGTCATATGAACTGGTAAATGAAATTAGTGAGGCCGTAATGCGCTTGTTCGGAAGGTCTCTTACGGGCGGCGCCTTAAATACTGACTGGAGGGAA